ATTATTTCAAAGAAAGTTAAGAATTTCCAGCTAATTAAGCAAAAGTTGGCTAAAGTTCAGAAAGAAACAGAAAGGCACCTTACAAGAAGGAAGGAAAGTCATTATTTGACTTTTCTGTTAAGAAATCAGTATTCTTCATATATATCTAATGAAACAGATTTTTTGAAATATCATACAAATTTTATACAAAACACTATTAAAAATCTAAAGACTTTCTGGATTTATGCATAGACTCTGTAGAATGAAGGCCTTGTATCGATTGCATCACAGTCAAGCAAACTTGTAACGTAAATATTAACAATGGCAATTCAGTATTTCAGTTTTCAACGCTTAATGCTCACATATAAATGTAGAATAGCATTAAATTCAGAGAAACTAATATGCAAAATAGTCTTTTACCATTCTTTACCCTTTAACTACAGAATAAACTCTCTGAATTTATTACCAATAAACATGGATTCTGTACTGAACTTAGAAATCACTAAGTAGATATATATTATCTTCCTCCAAACTTTGAAAATGCAGAACATTTCCTAAAAAAATCTCATTAGAATTCAACTCTTGATTACCTAGATCTGATTGACAGCAAGAGATCCCCTCTCTGGATTGGGCTGAACAGCCTGAATCTCAACAGCGGCTGGCAGTGGAGTGGCGGCATTCCCTTCAGATACTTTAACTGGGCACAAGGTACTAATCGTTTTTTAACAGTTTTTGGAATGAATCTTTCCCAGCAGAATGCTGAATGCCTGTTATTTACTGTCCTGTAGTATTCCCCATGAACATGAGGAAATGGAGTTGAAAGCCTTATGAGACGTGAGATTAAAAAGCTGAGAAGGATGCTTTTCTTCCCTGGATATATCACAAGGAGTTTCAAGCAGAAGAGTTAAATAAACTCATCTCCTATCAGAAGTAGATAAAGTGAAAAGCACTAGTTGAGGTGTAGCATGCTAGGAATGCCTCCAAGTCAGTTAAAACCTCTGCATCTCTTCAACTCTCACAAGGGCTATCAGACCCCACATCGTGCAAGGACTCAGCTGTCAATGAGCATCAGTCTTTCAAAGCCTTCCCCTTCACTTTTTATGCTTTTCCTCTTTTCTTCTCTCCTCTTTAACATTCAAGAGAGACTGTAAATGGAGTTCACAGCATTGACAGTTTATCTTTGAAAGTCACTTAATGATTGCCATGGCAACAGCTGGTTGCAGCAAATGCTGAATGTTTGTTGCTGGATAAACGCACACATATTCCATCTTTTGGCCTTCCCCAAGTGTCAAAGGTGCCACCTGTTTTTATCTGGCACAGAAGACGTAGGGAAAACCCAGAGTTTCTGAGTCTGGTAGATGATTTTCTACCTTCTACTGAGCTGGTCAAATTCCTTAAGCCTTGCAGAGAAGAGCAGTTGACTCTCAGGTCAAGCAGCCCACACCCTTGGAGCTCCTGTATCCCCACATGATGGCTCTTATGATGAGTTTGTCTACACATTTCCAGTTTACTGCAAAATTATTATAAGTTGTATCTTTTGGGGGGAGGAAAAGAAAAAGTAAATCATCGCGCTGTGGACCTCTCTGAGAAAAGGAAAACACTGCCCATTCCTCAAGGACATTGATCCTGGTGAATCTTGTGGAAGGCTGGTTGCAGAGGCAGGCAGGGGAGAGACACACAGAAAGTGTGAGGGCACATGAGGAGGCTAGGCTTGCAGCAAGGAACATATCTGCAGACAAGTTCCAAAAGGACATGCAGAAAGGACCTTTCCAAAGGACCTGAGTGTACCTTTTTTGTTCCAGCACACTACCGAAAGCCGCTGGACCAGAACCTGACATAGAAATGAAATACTCCCTTGCAAGGGCATTGTGAAAATGAGATTTGTTTTCACATGTGATTTGGTATGTCTCATCCAACAGATGTGCCTTATATTTTATGAATTCCATATTATTATTTTTGTGCTCTGCTAAACACAGCTGTAGAAACTAGAAGCCATTTAACATGCTCCCATAAAGAAGCCTACCCTGTCAGGCTTTCGCCAGTCTAGGTTCCCACCACTCCCTACTCAACTGGCAGACATCATATCCCACAGATTGGTAGCATTTCGCTTTTGTCTAGTATTTTAAACAAATAATATTCATTCACTGAGCTTGGTTTAGCTCTGCCATGCAGAGCTAGAACTCTAATTTTCAGGTTTTGAAATTTCTTTTTATTATTAGCAGCTGATGGCTCTTACTCTGAAGAACGGTCTTCTCTCTTCACATCTGTAGAATTCCTTGTCTGAATATGAACTATGTTAAGATGCTGCCTTACTGTGTTCCTGCACAAAGATATTAGCTCAGACTGTGTCCTCTGATTTCAAGAATGTAACTGAGTGTGAGCTCATTAGTCCTATGAACATAGCTGGGTCCTGACCACAAATTGTGTATAAAACTAGATGTTTCATGAGCCGTGAAAATATGAACTCTGATCTCCTACAGACTGTGTATGGCATTGCAACTGTAGCAGCACCGGGTACCCCTTCAATGCCTGGACATTCAGTCCAGCACCTACTGACCAGGCAACAACATAATTTATTCTGCAACTGGTTTTGAGCTATGTATTCCTCAGCAGATGTATGGCTGACCCCTATGCACAGGCTGATTAAACAGGTGAGGGGACAAGGAAAGGACTTGCTGCAGCCTTTCCATCAGTGCGGGCTCAAAGTTTAGTTTCTCTTCTGTGCAAGTCAACAATTTTCACAAAACTTATAGGAATGTCTTATTTTTGAGACCACTATTCTGCAATCAAGTATGGCAGAAAGTGTGAATTATGCAACAAGGATCTAAAGAAATGTTTTGATGGGTACTTTTAAATTACATTTCCTTATCTCCAATAGAAAAATAACTGTAGCAATGAAGTCATGAGTCTGTAACCGACACATGAAAAAGCTGGAAGCAAATTGTTCTTTCAGCTGCTGACATAAAAATTGTGCTACATAAAAATAATTTGTTTTTTATTCTATGAAGGAAGCCCTGAGCCTGAGTCTGAGAAACTCTGTGCAGTACTAAATCCCAGAAGAGATGCTAAATGGGAAAACCAGCCATGTGAGCTGAAAGTTGGCTACATCTGTAAAAAGGAAAACTCCACACTGGATCCTTTCATTCTTCCATCAGGTATGTCAAGCAAATAAAAAAGCCTTTGATGAAGATAGAATTTGTGTCACTGAAATTAAATTTCATAGCTATTTAAAATAAATAATAAAAAAACATTGGAAATGTTCCCAGAATCCAGTAACCACACAAGAAATTTTTATTTCATGTTATTGCTCACAATTCCAGACTAAGGTCTAAACCATACACTATCACAAAAGTATCATGGACTGCATGGATGTGAAAATAAAGTTAGAGATGCCTCACCCTTCCTGATGTGCATTCTAGTGAAAACACCGAGGCTTACTATCACTGAAGGCTTGGAAAGATAGCACCAATAGGCTCAAACCACCTTCTCAGTGGGATTGTCTGTAACCTAGAAAGATGGCAAAAGAGAGCAAGTTCCTTCAGGCCACTTTTCTACTATGCTTTTATCTGATTTATTTAATGAGACTGAGTATGGAAAGCCACATCTGCAGAGAATAACTTGTGCTGCAGTAATAATGCCTTTATGAAATATGCAAACTATAACTGAGTGCAGTATATTGTGTGAAAACACTGTACATGGAATTCCAAAATATTACTCTGTCCAAAAGTGAATACTGGAAAAGTGAATACTGGAAAAGTGGAAAAGTGTCCACTAGTGAAGCCTAGTTACCACTAGCTCCATTATTTTCCTCTTTTGCTTAAATGTAGTATGTTTTCTGTAAAAGTACAGTGTACACAAGTACTGCTTTTTTGTAATCAATTTTCATTCTAATTAGTTAATGAACTGATTTCAAACGTAATCACAGTTATTCTAGACTTCAGTTGGCACTTAACAATTTGAAATATCTATTGTTTTTAAGGGGATGCAGAGCCTGTTAAATGCCCAGAAGGATGGTTGCCCTATAGAGATCACTGTTTCATGGTTCACAGAGACCCCAAAGTATGGAGAGAAGCCCAAATTTCCTGCAATGAGAGCAACGGCGATCTGGCCAGTATCCACAACCCTGAGGAGCACGCCTTCATACTGTCTCAGCTTGGCTACAGTGAGTATTTCTACAGGGCAGTGTTTGGTACAAATGGAGACTTATATTATTAGAAAACCTTCAGGATTTAAAAAAAATAATTCTTATTTGTTTAATATGAATATTTATAGGGAAGCCTGCAGATATATAGGTTATAAATAAACAAACACCAGAAAACCACAAGAGGAATCATTAGTGCTCTCTTTATTTTCGTTCTCATTCTTTTCATTTTGATTTTCATTGGTTTTTCACTGCATGAAATCACTTGAGGGAAATAACAGCTCTAGTTACTGCAGTATTTGGGTGGATTATCTGCCTCAGACACGTTGTAGCTGTAGATACAGTAATGGACTTTTACTGATAAAGCTGAGGAATCTCATTTCCTGCTGGTATATCATTTTTTAACTTCTTGAAAGAAGAATGCGAATTAGATCTTAAAATAAGCTCCACTGTTATTTAATCTTGATGAATTTGTACTGTAGCATGGCAATTTCAGCTCATCCCCATAAAATCTTTCTCCTACGGACTGTTCCAAGTCAGGTACTAACACAGGTGAATTTCTGTTCTTAGAAGCTGTGGATGAGCTGTGGATCGGTCTGAATGACCTCAGCACTCAAATGTACTTTGAGTGGAGTGATGGGACTCCTGTGACATATACCAAATGGTTGCCTGGAGAACCAACCCATGCAATCAATGGGCGAGAAGATTGTGTCATTATGGCAGGAGAGGTAGAATCATTCCACATCTTTGTAGCAATATACTATTTGATTTTTGTTTCTATTTACAGTTTTTTTATGAATGTAACTTAGAAACAAATCAGGGAGTGGTATCTTTACTCACTGAGAAATATGGTTGTTCTAAATTAAATTTAAAATTAAATTGGAGATAACTAGATAAATGTTCATATCTGACTGTGAGTGTACATTATATGCCAAGCAGACCTTAACAGTCTGTCTGTGACAGCTTAACATAACCTTACAATCAAGCACAAATACTTGGAATTCATTAGAAAGCACAGATCTTTATTCTCCCATTGAAGCAATATTTAAATAAAAGTAATCAATAACATTTCTACAGGAAACAGGTTCTGCCTCACTGTTTTTCACTTCTTCCCAAATGGCATCTAGGATGGATACTGGGCAGACAGTGCCTGCGATAGACAGTTAGGTTACATCTGCAGAAGAGACCCACTACAAGGAATTTCTGGAAGAGCAAAGACTGATTCTGCCTGCCTGCAGGTAAGAAGAAAGCGTAACCAAGAAACTCAAGCTCCACTTGACATTGAAACTATCTTCCCCCCCCCCCGAAGTGTGATTGTGCATCAAATTCAGGGTGATAATTTTCACTTCATTCCCTTATTTAAAATAAAGTTATTTTGAAATTTTTTTAGTCAATATGAATCAGGCCCATTACCTTTCAGAACTGTCTGTGAAAGAGGCCATTACTGTGGTTTTCCGCGTATTTGTTATATTGTTCTTCAAACATCTACGGTTATCTAAGATGTAGTAGAGACTGGGATGCAGGATGATGACAAATCTCACTATTGAAGCCAAATCAAAACATCAAATAGCTTTTATGACTAAATGTGTTTTTAACAAGTTATTGTATCCTACTGCTTTTTTTCCTTCTCTTTTTTCACTCTTTTTAATTTCCTATTTACTACTGTTCTACATTTAGTAACATTTGCCACAATCCCATATGAGACTCATGGCTCTAGACGGATTTAGGCAGCAGCCAAATACTGAACACAGATTTTATTTAACTTTCTCAGATGCAGCAAGCAACTCTTGAGCTGGTATAGAAAAGTGACTTGGAATTCAGCTGTAATTTTGAGGAATTTGCTTTTCAATAGCCTTTATACTACCTCTTCAGTCAGACTTTTTAGGTGAGCTGATGAGTTAAATCAATTAGTTGGTCTAGTTACTGTTCTTTTAGACTGGAAACGTCAGGGAACTTGACTCAGCATCTCACTATAAGACAGGCTACTCTCTTCCGTTCTGAGCAAAGAAGTATTTTACTCGCTTCTGAATACACTCTCCATTCTGTGTGTGCCTCTGACTTTTTTATCAGTTAAAATTTATCGGTTACTAATTGTCAAAAAAAGGGGGACTCATATGCATTAAATCTCTTCTTTCTTGATGTTTAATTTCCATTAATCCACTGGAATTCAAATTCATATATTACTGCATTCGGTTATATTAAAAATACGCTGATTTAAGAGCAGACACTGAAAGTCAAGCACTATAACATAGGCTCTTTTTACTGCAAATTTATTCCACATGTTCTTGACAGGGCTGGGAAAGACATGGTTTTTACTGCTACCTGGTTGGACATACCTCTGTAACGTTTTCAGAAGCAAAGAAAACATGTGAAAGGAGCAGTGGTTATTTAACAAGTGTAGGAGACAGGTATGAAAAGAGTTTAAAAACTGTACATCTGATGGAATAATCTTGGAATTTTATAAAATAGTTGAGAACTTTTTAGGGGAAAAGAAGTGTGAAACCAGAAAACCAGAATATCCTTTTTCTGGAGAAAAAAAATTTAAAAATCAGTAAATACAGTAAGTCTTTTCTAAGTCAATGTATTTTACACATTCATGTTTTCCAGTACTTTACTCTGAAAAAAACCAGTCCACAGCTGCTTCTGTTCTGTAAGGATCAGTTTTTCAGTATAGCATACCTTTACCTAGCTAGTCCATCTGTTATCCAGTTAAGCAACGTATTTCCACTTAGAAGGAAACCTAATGGAGACTCCATTCTTTCCAGTTCTGTGTAGTTCAGGGTGCTGAGAAATGGCAGACTAAGGGAAAGCTAGGCTTAATCCCCATCTGACTCCTGTCATTTCAGATATGAGCAAGCCTACCTGACCAGCCTCATTGGTCTGAGCTCTGAGAAGTATTTTTGGATTGGTCTCTCAGACACGGAAGAGCAAGGGATGTTCAAGTGGGTGACTGGTGAAGGTGTTCTGTACACAAACTGGAACGCAGCAATGCCTGGTACTCTGCCGTTGGAGTAAATTTATGCTACTAAGGAACCTTCTGTGTTGCAATTCCAAACTGTTTCCCAGCTTTGCTAAAACACATCCATGATGACACATATGAATGTTCCGCATTTGAAATAGGAGTGTCTTTGACACAAGCTGCCATGAAAATATTTCATTTCTGGCTCCTCGTTGCTTACAAGAGCAAAATCAAACTGAGCAAAAAGGGTGCAATCCTTTCCAGCCTGGGTGACAGGCTGCCAAATCCTTGCAGTGAGTGGCGTAGGAAAGAGGCAGGCAAGGGGTTGTTCAGGCACTTGTAAAGCTTTTCAAAGGGGAGAGAAGATGATCACAACTCCACTTGCTGGTTTCCTCTTTTTACAAAGCTCTTCCTTTGAGCAGACACTACACTTAGTATTTCAAACAGTCTTTTGTAAATGAATTGCATGAGTTGTAAAAATATCAGGGGAACCACTTTAAAACACATTTCAATTTTCTTTTATATCTCAAAAAGGGAATGAAGCCGGTTGTGTCGCCCTGAGGACTGGAAATGCAGCTGGACTATGGGATGTTCAGAACTGTGAAGTAAAGGCAAAATTTCTCTGCAGAAAACTAGCTGACAAAACTACTCTTCCTCTTAATCCTGAAACCGTTTCTGATTCCAAATGTCCCTTGGGTTGGGATACAAGCAATAGCACTAATTCATGCTTCAGAGTAAGTATTAATTTTGCCAGTAGTCCTACTCGTGAGAAAGAAGAGAACCAAATAGAGTATCTAAACTTCAGAGCATGGCACATCATTGCACAAATGTAGTAAGCTTTTACACAACTCTTCATGGAAAACACTGCAAGTATCATTCTTTCAGTGATACATAAGGTAATCTAAGTAGTATACTCTTTAATCCATATTATATATGATAATTGTAATGGAATGTTTTCCTATTTTGCTTAAAAAATAGATTTATTTTTAACATGCTTTACAGCATAGTATTCTACCTAAAAATGTATCTATAGGTTTTTGTGAGAGAAGAAAACCAAAAGAAAACATGGTTTGAAGCCCGAGATTTCTGCAGAGAAATAGGAGGAGACTTGGCTGCCATTAGAAGTGAAGAAGAGCAAACAGTGATAGAAAATTTATTAAGGTAAGTACAGAAAATATCTAATAATTGATATTTTGATGTAACAATACTTTATATAGGAATAAATAAAAATATTCTTGTGTTGCTCCCAAGATAATTAGTTGAAAATCTATATCTGTTTATCATCATAGTCATAAGAAAAAGAACTGAGAAAATAGTTCATATGGGTACCATTTTCAAAGACATTTTTGGAATTCCTAAAATTTGTCATCATCTGTAAATCTTTTAAACTAAAAAAAAAACCCAGCCCGACAACTAAATATTTTGAATGCTTCTCCTTCAGACTAATTTCTAAGTTTGTTCACTGAACCATTTTGAAACTAAATTCCAGCAAATCTGAACATTTTATTTCTCAAAAAACACTGTAATCACAATATCAATGAAGAAAAACAATGTGCTGAGTTTTCAACACAACCATTTGCAAAGTAGAAATTTTTAAGACATGAACTTCACTCACTTGCTAATGGGAGGTTGCTGACCAACACCATTTTGCTATTTTAAAAATTTCTACTCAAAGTCTTCAATAAGTGTGAGAGTTATTGTCCTGTGTAACTTGCAAAATTTAACAGAGCTAATCACATACATCCTCTTCTTTTATGATACATTTTTTCACACTCTAGAAAAAAATCCCCACCATCCCCTTTCTGGATAGGTTTGCAGTGTTTGGATCCTGACGGTGGGCTTTCCTGGAGTGACGGATCCCCGGTGAGTGTTTGACCTTGCCAGTTTCTTTCTGTTCTGACTTTTTTGCTGTTGGAGCCGTTTCCATGACAGGTGTGGATGAAAGTTTAAGAATTCCCAAAAATGTCTACCTTGCCACTAGGTAACTCTAAATCATTATGCTTCATAGCAGTTTGGAAAAGAAAAAGGCCAATAAACCCTGAAGTTATACCATCACAACAGTGGTAACATGGAGTACTAGTTGCAGCTACAGAGGCGATTATCTAAGTGGCAAATGTATGAAAAAGATCTCTCCTGATTTTTATGAGTCTCTGGTGATATATTGCCATGTTCCTTTCCCCTGCTATTGATTTATAACCTCATTTGATTCGAGTGTTCATGGGACTGCTGGAGTCTGTTAAATGCTGCGTAAACCCAGAGCCTTTCTTTTTTCTTGCGAAGTGACTATATTGCTTTAATAGCCCACATAGGCTGCACAGCCATAGGAGGAAAGCAAGGAGTTGTTTGAAACTTCAGTGCTACTTTTCCTGCCTTCCTTCCAAAGTACAACTTTTTCCCCTGTACGATAATAAAACTCAAAGTTGTGTTTCTTCTGTAGGTGAATTATAAGAAAAATTATTATTACAATACTGCATTTGAATACTGTGGAGCAATCAGTGAAGAGCCTTCCACGTCATGGATTACGGAGCACTGTGAATACAGTCATAACTGGATTTGTGAAATAAAGAAAGGTAGGTTACTTTTTACTCTAAACTCACATTAGGAAGAAATTGAAGCTGAATCTATCAAAACAAGAAGTTCTGCAAGTTAGATGCTTGTAGAAAATGTGGTTGATTTCACAGGAATTTTGCATAATGCAAAATAGGTCAAGACATAGAAGTACTTTCAGAATACAATGTTTCAAATGTAAAACTTTTTTTGTTGTTTTATTTTAAAAAACTATGATAAGCTTTACTGAAAATATACTTGTTTATGTAATTCTACAATTGTAGAAAATAAGGTGAAAGCAACCTCAGGGGCTTATCTAGTAAAGACCACCGCTCTGCCCAAAAAACAGATTTTTGTCAAAACAGAAGCTTTGCCTGACAGGAAACTGTACATTTCTTGGAACTTCTACTTGCAGGGAATTTCCAAGTTGAGGGCAAAAAAAAAAAAAAAAAAAAAGACTTTAAATCTCTGTATCCTTTGTGAAGTGAAACTTCTCTCCTCCGCTCAGGTGTAGCTTGAATGCTACACAAGGACACATTAGTCACCTACTCTAAATTAAACATGACTACCAGCATGCTAGAATTGTTACCTTTGTAAGATGACACGTAAAGAAACTCCTGCAACAACAGGCTTGCTGTAATGAAAAGATGGTAATCCAAACTTCAAAATTTATATACTTTAAGACAATAGGCAGGCTCACATCTTCCTCTCATACCAGCAGCAAAATCTTCTATGATAATACTTCTGTGGTTTTGCTGGGTTTTTTTCCCCAAATGTAACTACTGTTGAGAAAGACATCCAGCAAAATAAGAGAGGAATCAATTATAGCTTTATATTGAGTTGCACATTTTACTTCCAAGTGTTGGTTTGGTGTCTCTCTAGGCTCCTTCACACAAGCAGTAAGAGTTAATGTTTAAAGTGATACTTTTCTAAATAAGATAATTTCTGCACTGCTGAATTACTCGAAATAATCTGCATTTTCACTCTTTAGTTTTCTTTCTGAAACAAGTACTCATTCAGACTAACTTCAGTCACCTAATTCAGGCAACATTCAGCATGTACAAGATGCACTTACCAAAATCTGCCGGGACAAAGATGCAGGGCTATAGTAGATCTGTTAATCCCTGAACATACATCTTTGCTCTGCACCAAAGATACTATATAAATATATTCTGCATTTCCATGTGTAAAATATGGAAAATTGGTAGACATTAAGATACTTTCCACTAATTGAACACTTCTACTGGCTCAACATTTGGGAAACATTTTACATCGTCATTTTTTTCCCATTTCACTACAGGGACACCCTTGAAACCAGAACCTCTGGGCCCTTCTGCTGGTAAGTTTCTGTTTATTATCTCTTACCTAAAGGATGGTATCATCTAACACCACCAGCTTTGTGTAAGGACCAGGAAGAATACAGAGATTCCTCTTCTGTGTTGCAGCATATGAAGTCACGGAAGATGGCTGGATTTTAAAAGGCGACAAACAATATTTTTTCAGCACAGAAAAGACCTCTATGGAGAAAGCCAGAGCATTCTGCCAAAGCAGTCATGGAGACCTTGCTACTATTGGAAATAATAGTGAAAGAAAATTTTTGTGGAAATGCGTAAGAGGAAATTTGACTATGTTATACCATATATGGCCTATATAACCTGCTGCATATGCTTGTGAAGTACAGGAGAATGTGCTTCTTGCATAATATTACTACATTTTATTAGCATTAGATTTAAATGTTCAATGAAAAAATATTTATTCTACAGAACAGGGCTTCTCTTTAGGAAAATAAATACCATTTACCATTTACTAGGGTGGGTATATTCAAAGGCACTGCCTACACACTGCCTGAGGCAGTTCTGACGGGCACATGCCAAAGCCATGGCAGGGGCATGCTAACAATTTAAAAGCGTGGGTGTTGCCTCAAACCTGTGCCATCCTGTTTGGTTTACTAACACCAAAGTAGCCACACAACCTCCTTTCTATTTCGCATTATGAGATGCTTGCTTTTATTATGTGGGAAAGGATATGAAAGGAGGAGAGGACAGACAGCTTGAGTCACAGGAATTACTGGCTGCTTAAAAACAGGAAAGTACAAAAAAATTTTATACCAAATTTTTCTCAGGTCTTCCTTGTTTCTTTTTAATTTGAGAACACAACTTTGAAAGCTTTAATGATACCAGTAATGCAGCCAAAACTGGGAAAGCAGCAATAAAGATAATGAAGCAAAAGTATGTATGGTATCATATATACTTCATCAGGGGTCCTCTCTGGTGAATACACGTGATCATTTGTACAATGTGTATTCACGTATTTGCTTCCATAGAGCAAAAATTACACTTTTTTCATATTAGATAACTACTAAATATTAGAAAGCACTAGCTAAAAGTATATTTTTGTGTTTAGATCTTAAAAAATGGCAAAATGGAGTCATATCTCATAGGATTAATACGGAATGCTGATCAACAGTTTAGGTAGGTAAACAAGCTACATCAAGTTTCATAAAAAGTAGTTGTTGAAGATTCATACTGCCAGAGTTCTTTCTGGAGGGACCACTGCAAGGGACTTAAATGCAGAATCAGAGAGTTATATTGCATGTTGAAATGTGTGCTCTGCCTTGGTTTAACTACTTTGTAAAAACACTGTTTTAAACGGCATTTTTATTGGCAATATACATAGATCATGTCTGTTAAAAATAAAGGTATTTTTTTCCTTTTGACATGCAGGGATTTCATTATCTAAGGTCTTTTAATCCTAAAGAAACTCAATTTACAGTCAGCTGTAAATTTTTTAAAATATTTTTTAGCATGTTAAGGCAGATTTTTCTGAACTGTTGTCTGAGCAACCACTACTGTTTCGTTGTTGGTTTGGGTTTTTTTCAGTTGGATGGATGGAAGCCCAGTGCACTATGCAGCTTGGGCACAGGGTGAGCCCAACTTTGCACATGCTCAAGAAAATTGTGTGGTCTTAAATAAAAAGGATGGTGAGTTACACAACTTTTTTAAAAAACGTATTTTTATGGATATTGCTCTTCCCCTGCTAAAAATATCTTGCCAACTTTAATCCATTCTTTCCCAACAATTTGGGAAAATATAAATAATAAGGTATAGTCATTATATCTGAGGTTTCATCAGGAGCAATATTAGCCATAAAAGTGGCTAACTGATTTTAAAGGGGAATGAAGGGACAATTTGAGAACCGATTTCTCAGCTGCATGAACAAGATGTTCTATTCAAACCAACAGCAAATTTTGTCTTTCAAAAAATAATTAGTAAATAGTTCGCAAAGGATTAGAACATACATGCAGTTCCACATGTTACAGTGTTTTCACTGATAAAGTGTTACTCTACACTTGTATGTTTCAGTGCAACACAGCTGTTCGTGTGGGTTCTGCTCAGAGGTCACGGAGTTGCCATATGAGCCAGCTCGTATGGCCACTACTCCCGCAGTCACAGCAGGACCAAAGTCCTCCTGTAAGCAGTGATGATGGGAGGTAGAGTTGAGCTGAAGCACGTTATCTCACATTCCCAGGCAGATTGCTTTTGAACCTACAAGCACAGAAGCCAGTTCACTTTCCCACAGATTTCAATCTTACTCAGTGTCTTATTACCTATATTTAAATTGATTTCAGGCTTGTGGAATGATGTCAGCTGTGGTTTTTCAAATGGCTATATCTGTCAGAGGCACAGAAGTTTTATAAACTCAACACTTCCTTCAGCCGCACTTTCACCTCCTGGAGGATGTCCTGAAGATTGGCTTTTATTTAAAAATCAGGTATGATGACATCCATCCAAGCTCAATGATATTAGTCCCTGGAAAAGATACACAAGAGGACTTTTGTCTCTCAGATATCTTTTGACAATGGTTATCCAAAGTTGCATTAAAACCTGAACCAGTTGCCTAATACTTGCAAAATGGTAGGTTTACAGATTTTTAAATGTTTTCTGAAGGTAGGTCATCTGAGATACATTGGAAAAACTGCTACATATTATATACTTTCAAAAAAATGGACCTGAATTCACCTGAAAGCACCAACTGTAGCGTAAGATCAGTCATTTGAGCTGGAATGAATCAGAAATAAGGCCAAGTTTTTCCCAAGAAGCTTCAATGTAATGCTTGCCTCTTCCCAAAAGGGACAAACTTGATGTGCTTATTAAGTGAGAGATTCTAATATATACAATATTGTTATGAAAGCATCCTGGATACTCACACCAGTGGCGTTTATGCCAGTACTTTTTTTTTTTGCATTTTTGTCACAGTCATCAGAGTTGTTATTTTCCACAAACAAGGCAAGATAATTCTCTGACAGTGCTACTGGCGTGCCACAGAGCAGAGGGAGAGCTGTAAACATGGAGAGGGCACACTAGGCACACTCATAATTACCAAAACCATTTCAGGGTGAATGTGTATTGGGAATGTGATGACTACACGCTCTTTAAGAAATCATGAGTCATATACTTCCATTAATAAAAGAGATGTACACTGAAAAAGGCCGAATACACACACATGACAGCACACTGATCATAGGCTCTAGGTGAAAAACATTTTTCAGAAAGTTCAAATGATTCCACACGAAACCCTCTGGGCTTTTCTTGCAGAGTCAGCCCTTCTTTGTCTTTTACTAATGATGGAGTGTGGCTTCTCAAAATCTCTGCATTAGTTAACACATTAGATTCTCCTCAGACTCCTACTGCGGTTTATGCATGGTTGTTTGAGTTTTGTGGTGACTTTCTCAGTCCCTCACAGAAAGACACAGAATAAATTTAAAATTTGTGAATGGTTTTGACTTAGTTCCAGAGCTGAGTCCCTGTTAACTTTGGAAAATTATTCTGTGGGTCTGAATTAGGCTAATTTCTACTTAAACTAGCGTAATTCAAACGTAAATTCCTTTTGCTGTCACTCACTAACCGTCTACACTCGTTTTTCCCTAGTGTTACAAATTTTTTGGCTCTTCCTATGAATACTGGTATAGTGCAAGAGGAACTTGTATGAGCCTTGGAGGAAACCTGGCAAGCATACATAATGAACAAGTACAAGGTACAGTGCAACAGCCCATCAGATAATAGATAGCATTTACTCTGAATACAGTGGTCATTTCCTGTAAAGAAGAACATGGCAAAAAGAGACAGTATCTAAATATATGTATTTTATAATATATATACTCAATACGTGTTATATGGCCATGGCATGAAATATTTTTGGAAGAACTGGAACCATCTGTCTAGGACATGCTAGTGAGGCTATGGGTTGCTTCCTCCTGTTCCATGAAAACTGCTTTACATTATTTGTAGGGTATGAATTAGCATAAAATAACAAATCCACACCTGGCATTTGTAATTTTAGACACAGAGGAAGAAAAGGAATCCATGGTCTGTTTTTGCCGGAAACAGAAAGGGATATATTACTATACCTCTCTGAAATGAGAGGATATATTACTGTACCTCTGCCTAAATTCTGCAACTTCATTCAGCAGCAGAATGTTGGAGGAAGGCACATTTTCACCTTGCCTATGTTCATGGGCTTCCATTCGCAGCTGTATACACCTACACATTTCCATCAGTCAATCAGCTTATCTGGAGTGTTGAAATAAGTGAACTCATTAGACAACATGGTGGTCAGGCAGGGTTTTTGTATCTTTCCTCTTTCCAGTCTTGCTTCATAGTTCCAAACACTTTCGCTCTTTGCGACTTTTCACAGGCAAAGGCTTGCCATAACCTTGAATAATAAACTTGGGTAAATTTCTGATCAAATGCTAATTAAAATCTATTTACAAGACTTTAATGAACAAATTAGTTAAGGATTTGTTTATGAGCTGATGTCTTGATGGATGACATGACATTTCACCTTTTCTATTGGCTTTTTTTCCAGCTTTTCTTACTTACCATTTGAAGGATGTTTCAAATGATCCCTGGATTGGCTTGAATGATATAAACAGTGAACTCAACTTTGTTTGGACTGATGGAAGTGCTGTCTCTTATACAAACTGGGCTCCAGATTCCCCAAAACTTGTAGAACCCGTTTTGTATCCCAGTCTACATCCAGAAGATGGCCACAATCTGCAACAGGTAAATATCACTTAGCATTTACCATCAAGTTAAATCTGAGGAGCAATATCACTTCAAGTAAACAGCTCACTTTGCTGCGGACATTGCCTCAGCCTTCTCCTCAAGTTGTTCATCAAACTTTGCACTGGGATTAGTGATAAAAAGTTTCAGTGTTTGAACATTCTAGCTGTCTCAGAGCACAAAATGCATTGCTGCAATTTTGCCAAAGACTTGCCAAAGAATTTAGTAAAATTGCAGCAATGGACAGATTGAATAAAGATTGGATAGATTGAATAAAGTTTTCTTTTTCATAGTAATTTGCTGTTCATTTTGCAGAGAATATAAATGCAACATTAGAATTTTAGAAGTTAACACACATTGGAAATATTTTCACGTTTGACAAGTTAACTCAAATTTGAAAAGAAAAGAGGAGAGGACGCAAGAGGAAAGAGTTCAATTTTTTTCTATGTCTTCCCTATTTACAGTTGTAATTGAATTGCTAAGGCCCAATAGATGTTATATACTTTCTAAACCAATCAAACCCTCTCCACTGCTAGCACTGAAATTAAACCTCAGAATGCTGTAAATAAAATAGCATTCTACATATCCAGACCCATGTAGATTGATTTGCACACCCACATTGCCTTTCCTCCATTGATTTCCATATCTTGCTTTCAGAACTTGTCCTTCACACTATGCCATTCCACTCACTGTCCATCCTCCCTTCACTTTGGTATCTACACCTCTAGAGAACCCAGAAATCTTATCTCTAGACAACCAGCTTAATTTGCACCTGAGGCAATTCATTCTGCTCTTGCCCATCTAGTCACTGGCCAAGGCATGCAGGAAGACATACAGGATACAGCACAATACACAGCTCTACTTTACGGCAGTTCTAATAACAGTCCTGGGAAATATCAGGAGGGGGAAAAAATTATGTGCAAAAGTACTTTCTATTTTCCTCCTTCATCTTCAAGATACTAACAGCTATCTCCTTCACAGGATCCTTTTCAAATGAGTGAAATATAACATCAAAAAGTTACTTGAGCTTAGGAAACTAGAGTCAAGAGCTACTAAAACAGTCATTCCTAGAGTTTCTGCACGGCAGCTTAGTAGGCTGTTGCAGGTTGTAATAAACTTGAAGTTCCAGCTTCTTAAGCACTCAGCACCTGATCTGGTATAGCTGAAAGAGAAATTCCAAGAACTAGAGTTGACGATAACTCTGTCAAGGACCATAATTTAGATGATTCTGTCAAGAATAACCACTATTTAAATTTGGCTTTGCAAGCCAAATATAAAGCATGACCTCCATTTATTTTTATTTCATTCTTATTCAGAAAACTTACTGATAGTTGCTCATTATTTGAGATAGAAAATGTGACAGAAAAGTTCTTGAAAATAATAGTGCCTTTCAAGTACGTCTCCTCGAAAATAATCAAATGAACAAGCAGGCTGTGCAGAAGATTACAAAGATTTACAAGACAGTACCAAGGTGCAGCTGGCCACCACAAAGGAGGCCAGGAAGGATAAAAGGAAGGTGTTTCTAGAGTTGTAATATATACTCTGTAATATCAGAATTCAAAGAAAAAAGGAGTGACACTACCCAGGGAGTTATAGTACTTTGTTTTATAACTTCCAATATCAACGTACTCATATTCTTTCCCTTACTCCAACAGTTTGATTGTGTTTCTCTGAAGAGAGGTCATGCTGACGACACAGGAAAATGGAACAATGAGGAGTGTTATAAGTCCACAGGGTATATATGCCAGAAGAATAGTGGTGAGTTCTGTATCACTAATCTTTAAATTTATAACACAAGGATTAAAATAACTTTTCTTGTTTAACATGCTTTAAATCAGATATATATATTTTTTTTTTTAGGTAAAGGATCAGTAAAACCTAAGGTCCCATCTTTCATCCCAGTGTTACTTAGCAATGTTTTAGAAAAGGGAATGACAAATAAAATATCAGAATATAGGAAAGCAAAATGATTTTATTTTTTAAAATGTAATTAAAAAGCTAAAACCTACAAGCATTTTAATTACGTAAGTTCATAATGATCTAGAGATGATCATAACCGGTAAGTTTTATATGATAGTCCCAAAGCTGCTAAACTGCAAAGAGTATTTAGAAAACACGAGGGTAGGTGTGTTATTTTTGACTGATGGGGTGAATTTACCCCTGCAATATAAGATACTGTGAATTTACTGATTCAAAATTCTCAGAGGCTGAAAATGTATTTCTTTCATCCAGAAAGTTCACTGTTGTTTTGAAGTTGTATGTTACTTAAAAACAACTAATGAGAAGGTGTTCTATTCCATCAAAAATTTTCTACTAGGTTTGGAAATAATGAAGATGTTATTCAATTGGCCAAGCCAAATACGTGGCCTTCAGATTTAACTGTTCTTGGGATGGGTTTTTTTCCCTTATTCCTACAGATCCTGAACTCTTTAAGTCATCAGCAACAGCGCTGGACTTTGCTTTTGACCATTCTGGTGGCATTAGCTACTCTGTCACCCGTTCCAAAATGAATTGGGAGGAAGCACAGAAAAACTGCAATAACAATGCCTCAGAACTTGCCAGCATTTTAGACCCATACAGCCAGGCACTGGTGTTCTTATTCACACAGGAATATGGAGAGCCCCTGTGGATTGGTCTTAACAGCAACGAGGTAAGAACCCATACGTTACATACAGGTAGTCAAGCTGACACTGGACCTGATCTTACTTGCTGCTCTCATCTTGTAACCTATAGGAATTTCTGCCAGTGTAGTGCTGAAAACAGCATGTTACATCACTGCAGCACCCATTTATGCTGAAGTTCTTCAAAGAAGACTCATACAGTGGAGATTTTAATGGACTAAGAACTCGTATATGCTTGAGCACAAGGAAATGCTCCTGCAAACCAGTATATAACAATGCTGTGTGTTGTCTGGAGTCATTTAGAGGGTCTCGAATATAAATTGTAAAATCTCCCACGTTTTGAGGTTACTTTAATCGAAAAGATATTCCAGGAACAACATGCATCCTGCCCTCCTGCCATGTGTTTATGTATCTCAGTGATCAGTGACATGATATCCCAGGTTGCACATCTGAGACCTGCAAAGCAATGGTTTTTACGTGTGTGCTTATGCTAACACGTTCTACTAGAGTAGTCTTATTTATGGTAGCAGTAGCAAAATACAGTTGTGGACAGAAACAGGGGTACAAATTAGTTAAAGGAACCTGGAGGCTATATGATATGGTGAATATTGACCATTGAATATATTTTTTCATTTGAAAATGCAGTTTGTGTAATTGTTCCCATTAAGAAGTTAGAAAATTATGGAAAAAAAAAATCCTTTCTGTTTGTGAGATGTCTACATCAGTTGTATGACAGGGGAGGGTGAACATTTGGATGGTAGGTGTGTTTTGACATGCTACGCTCTTCCCCATGAATCACAGTCACGACAACTACAACAAAAGCCATGGCAATCAATCAGCGCTGCTTGTTAAGAACACTCCCACCCACACTCCCATTTTCCATGCAGACCTTTGTTTGGTCGTACCAACATGAGGTCTTATCTTGACTCCCAGTTTTATGCCTTATCTCATGTCCCCTTTCTTTTTTTCCTCCTCAAGCATTTCCCAATGCTTGAAAAAATGCTCTGAATAAATGTTAGATACTTTTTGGAGGGCAGAGCGCTGCTTGTTAAGAACACTCCCACCCACACTCCCATTTTCCATGCAGACCTTTGTTTGGTCGTACCAACATGAGGTCTTATCTTGACTCCCAGTTTTATGCCTTATCTCATGTCCCCTTTCTTTTTTTCCTCCTCAAGCATTTCCCAATGCTTGAAAAAATGCTCTGAATAAATGTTAGATACTTTTTGGAGGGCAGAAAAAAAAATCATTCTGCATTCACATTTGTGGCTATAAACGGACACTGTACATTTTGTTGCAGCTAGCATTTACAAGCACAAAAAGGGGGCATTAGTAAGCATATAATTCCATAGTGGTTACATGAGAGTCCTCTTGAGGATCCTGTGTATTAGCTATGTCACTCTCTGCAACCTTGAAATTATCATATAGATTTTGCTTCCAGACCAATGGCAAGTATCAGTGGATTGACAGATGGAGATTAGTTTACAGCAAGTGGTCCAGCGGGGAACCAAAACAGACATTAGCATGTGTCTACCTAGACACTGATGGCACCTGGAAGACAGCTTCTTGCAAGGAAAAACTCTTTTCTGTCTGTAAAAAAATGGATGGTAAGCAATTCAGTATAAGAGTTTTAGCTAGAGGACATGTAGATTTATCAACAGTGCTAAATATAATAAGCCACTGGAAAAATACTTGTTTTATTCACTAGTATACAGAAAGACATGAGTAGCTAACTAACTAGCTCTAAATATTGACATGAATTCTTCCCAGAAGTAAATAAATTCATAATAATAATTATTGGTAATAATAATTACCAAAAGACTAGGTAAGGATTGAATACTCATTAATTTCTTAACTATTCATTCGAATGGGAAAAGTCATTCACTTGCTATGAGATCTGTTTTGATCAGATGAAATTCTGATTCCAGCTTGTGGCATCAAAGTTTGAAAAGGCTCTCTGTCAACTAAGGGTTTCAGATGACCAGGAAATAAGAATTAAAAGGAAAGATTATTATTGAAGTTGGACAAAAGATTGAGAAACAAAAGACTAAGAGAAACCAGATTATCAATTTTAAATATTAAAAATGAGCCCTAAGGAATGGAATTAAATACTTCCTTATGTCTGATATGAGTTGGAAAAGAGTAGCAGATTTAAATATGGCAAGGAAAGCCTTCAATTTTATCAGTACAGAAGTCTTTAGTAAATACTTTGGACAGGTCAGGGAATCTCCGTCAGTACAGGTTGCTAAGAACAGACGGGACAAACATCTGTTAGAAATGATATAATTATCTATCAACTTCTTGTCCCCTGTGAGCACAAGGATGAAGTAAATAAACCCCTGAGGAGCCTTCCAAGCACAAACTTCTATAAATTCTATGGAAATAAGTATAAATACGAATTCACAAATTAGCTATATTCTTGGTTTTGTCAACATTATGGTTGATCTTGAATCAGTAGAAAATTTAAAATTGCATGCCAAATTACATTCTAAGATATTGTAATTTGACAAAAATCATCAGATTTGATATATAATGTCACTTTCCACTTAATATTACAGAAATTTAATTTGAGAGCTGAATGTTCCTTAATAGAGAAAGAAATAGACTGTAGAAGATTCAGAGGAAGAAAATGTAATTTGGCAGAACATTTAATTTTCATTCCATCTGCATTTATCTTTTCATCCAAAATCTTTCTATTATATCAATCACTATGGAATTTATTCAGGATGCAGTTTAATAAGAAAATCTTGCAAGCCATGTTTAGTTATACCAACACATTCACTCACAATCACAGTTTCTGCTATCAGGTTTTGAACTTGTCAAAAAAATGAGACTGAAGTGTCAGAAGATATTCTAAAAATAGAATTTTTAACTAATGAGGCAGATACTTATGTCAGAAAACCAGCTGGAAATTTATTGACAAGAGTAACTATAAAAACCATCATTAGACAGAATCTATACTTCTTATAGACTGGTGTATCTTCCTAATCATCTTGATAAATAAATATGAAGCAAAATATGCTCTCGAACACAAAATCAAAGCCTTATTCAAGTTCTTTCTAGCACATGCTTCATTTCTTCTATGCTGAAAAACCTAATATAGTCTGTTTAGTTTTGTCTTATTAGTATAATGGGAAAAACAAATTTATAAAATAACTGGATTCCAACTACCTGATCTCTTATCAGTAATGGCCCCTACTGAGCCCCCACAACTTCCTGGAAAATGCCCTGAATCAAGAGGACACAAATCTTGGATACCTTTCCATGGTCACTGCTATTACTTTGAGGCCTCCAGGAAAAGAAGCTGGTCTCAAGCTCATCAGGAATGTGCCCGACTAGGTGAGTGTTTTGTTTTAGAAAGACTGAAGATGTAGTGGAACGCAAAAAACAATGGATAATATTGCTAAACAAATCTTAAATTACTTTAAAACTTCAAACAATGCTTTTTAGCTTGCTTTACTGAACATGCCATTCCACAATAACCCCAAACTTTGTCAGAGACAGAGGCATCTGATATCCTAAATACTTGGTGAAATATGAATATCTCAAAAATATGAAATTCCTACTACTTTTATGGAAATCAGTAATTGAGTAGGGAGAGAAACACTTTTAGAGTCCCACTAAGGCACAGAGAGCAGGGTCAGCTTTCCCTTCGCCAAACAAGAGGGAAGCCGCATACAGTGTAAACTAAGAGACACAAACTCATAGGAAAGTTGTCTTTGTTAGTTCCAAGGCAGAGTTTATTAATTGGATCTCACTGGCTGGACAAGAAACAAGATGGAGGAGTTCTTTAGCTCTCATTAACCAGTGAAACACACCCGGCCATGCAGGTCCTGCTCTGGAACAGCCCCCACTGCTGTCTATGCACTGGAGAGAAGAGCAATACGTGCATCAGGGGAGAGGAAAAGACACTTTACTCCACATTTCTCATTTCTCCTGACTGTTCACTGAGAATTGCTGTGATGCAGCATGCATTTCAGTGTCAGTAAGAATAGGAAACATCCTGTACATTAGCACTGCATATCTGAGAGATAGTCTTTTAATCGTCAGAGAGAATACAAGGACTTCTAGCAGCACTTCCTTGTGTGTATGAAAACACTGACCTATGACTGAGTAAACAGATAAAGTAGTTTTGCAAAGGCATTTTACTTTACAGCTGGGTGACAACAGAATTCCTGAAATAGTTCTGTAGAAAGATAAGTCACATAATTACTAGGAAAAGTAAACATTACACTAATAAATAGAACGAGAGGTCGCATTTGGACACTGGTCATGTTCTAAATTTACATGTTATTCACTGGCCAGGCCAGGAAGGTGGTCGTTTCCTGATGACCCCAACACAGCTTTGTGTATTTGTAATGCCAGGGCATATGGCAATTATAGATCAATTATTCCATACTATTTA